GCTTTTTTCTTCCTATTTCATATTGTCAGTCATACAATGTGGATCTTATTTACACTTTGTTTTTCATACCAGAGAAACTACTCGGTATTTACATGTGTGTTTTACTTATTTCACTTGAGTATGGCCTCAATATGCATCCATTTTCCTATGAATGACTCTAGTTTCTCATTCTTTATGGCTGAGTAGTACTCCATTTTATAGAAAAACCACATCTTCTTTATCCAGTTTCCAACTGATGGACAATTTGGGCTGTTTCCAAATTTTAGCTATTACAAACTGCCGCTATAAACAGGGGCGTGCATATATCACTGTGGTATGATTCTTTTAATTCTTTTGGAAAGATACCCAGCAGAGGGATGGCTGGGTCAAATAGGACCTCTAATCCTAGTTGTTTGAGTTATCTCCATATTGATTTCCACAGTGGTTGCATCAGTCTGCACTCCCACCAACAATGGAGAAGGGTTTCTTTCTCACCACAACCCCGCCAACATTTGTTATTCGTTGATTTCTTGATAGCAGCCATTCTTTCTGGGGGTATTTTTAATTTTTTTATCGGGGAACAAACTTGGGACCTTGCTCTTACAAGGCAGTCAGCAGAACCCCTTAAGCACCAATTTTTAAGGCACCATTGTTTCCCCATTGCTGGCACCCTAGTCACAGGTCTGTGGACCATAAATGGAAGAATTTATTTCTGAACTTTCTACTCCATAACACTGATGTACATGCATATACTTAACACTGGTACCATAATGTTCCATTTGCTATAGCTTTGTAACAAGTTTTGACAGTCCTCCAACTTTGTTCTTCAAATATGTTTAAAAATTTCACAGCCAGGGCCGGGGATTTAGCTCAATGGTTCCACCACCTGCCTCGCAAAGCACAAAGACCCAAGTTCTATCCAAGTACCAAAAAAAGCAAAATTCATAGCCACTGCTGGTCATGATGGTATCTACTTAGAGCCCAGCTACTAGGGATGCTGAGGCGGATCACTTGAGCCTAGAGATTTAAGACCAGCTTGGGTCCAGGTTTGGTGGCACACACATCTCATCCTATACCCTGGAAACCTGAGGCAAGAGGATTACAAGTTCCTGCCTCAAAATAAAAAAGGGTTGGGGATGCTGGAGATAGAGCTCTGTGCATTCAAAAAAATCAAAGTTCCTATCTAGGATCAGGTTCTCATCAAAGAACTTCTAAAGGATGTACTCTATTCTTGCATTTCCATATGAATTTTAGGATCGGCTTTTTTCTTTCTTTTCTGGCAGTGCTGGGGACTGAACCCAAGGCCTCTCACATTGTTAGGCAAGTGCTAAACCACTGAAGTACACTCCGAGCCCTGACTTCTTTAACAGCTGTGTTTTATGGCTAAAAATGTGACCAGTTTTAGTGAATGTTTCTTGTGTGTGTGAGACAGAGACATAGCTTGTAAGTAATGGGTTGTGAGTTCTATAGTATATCCATTAAATCTAGCTTAAGTGAAGCAAACATTCTGACCTTACTGTATTTTGGGGACCTTACTGTATTTTCTTTATACTTTTGAAGCTGTTATTACATGCTTGTAAGAATTACTTAAATTTCTTGGTGAATTGAACCTTTTACCAATATTTAATGACTTAATCTCTATTTCTTGGCTCAGAGTCCAGTCTCATATTTTTTTGTATTTGAGATGGACTCTTGCTATATATATGGCTGGTCTTGAACTCACTGTGTAGCCCAGGCTGGATTTGACCTTATGTGATCCTTCTGGCTGAGCCTCCTGAGTATTAGGGTTACAGGTGCGCTCTGCAGTGCCCCACCATTCTTGTATTAGTATAGCTTTAGTGTTCACCAGATGTACCTTTTTCTTTATAACTTCTCTGTGTCCTTAGAGAAACAACTTTTGTATGTGAATGTCAAGCTTTCCCAGAACTGTTTATGGAAGACTTTCATACTCACACTTATTAAGTACTTTCTTCTCAGTCCTTTTTTTTTTGCCAGTTGTGTATATAGTTTCCATACTTCATACTTATTTTTTTTTAATTAAAAATTTTAAATAGCTGATAGGTGGTTATGGTCTTCAGAAGACACATTTAGACTAATGAATAATTCATTAATGGTGTGAAGCTTTTCCTTATTAGCGCCAGAAAATTCACCCACCTTTTCACCTTTTTTCAAAAACTAGAAGGGTGGCATGCATTTGACTTCACAGTCTGAAGCAATGTCCTGACAATCATCGACATCTGTTTCAAGGAGGGGGCCAGGGATTTAGCTCAGTGACACCATCCCTGCCTCACTGAGTTCAATCCTTGGTACGTGGAAGGGGGAGAGACAGGCTACTTGAAGAACACACTGGAAGCTGGGCGTGGTGGCACATGCCTATGATCCCAGTACTCGGGAGGCTGAGGCAGGAGGATCGCTGTGAGTTCGAGACCAGCCTGGGCTACATGGTGAGTTCCAGTTCAGTCTCAACTACATAGTGAGACCCTCTCTCAAAAAAAACAAACAAAAACCACACTGGAGGGCCGGGGATTTAGCTCAGCGGTTTTGGTGGCCTGCCTTGAGTGCAAAGACCCGAATTCAATCCCCGGTACCAAAAAAAATTTTTTTTTAATTTAAAAAAAAAACACACTGGAATATTTTTCAGACAGGGAATGAAAGGAAGGCTTGATCATTTTGCAAGTCCCACACCATATGGCTGAGAAATCAACTACTACAAGTTTATCCCCTGCATCAGCCAAGGCTTTCTGAAAAGCTTCTTTGCTGTCCATCTGCTTCACCATTTTGGCTGCTGGAGGTCTGATGAGTGACAGAAGCAAGTGATGGAAATGGATTGAAGGCACCGAACTTAGCTCTAAGTGAGCTCACAGCCCACCTTCCCTTGATAGCGACAGGACAGGGCCTTCTCTCAGTACTTTGAAAAAAATGTTGCAGACATATATGTGTGTATACACACAAAAATATAGTCCACCAAGAAACTATATAAACCTGTAAAAATATTTTAATACTAAATTTATTGACACCATGAGATTAATACAAGTTACCTTTGTCCTCTGTTACAAGAGGTGCTCAAAGTGGTAGTCGTCAGCTTCCAGACATTTATTACTACAGCAAACTGCTGAAGTGTGTGTACATTTGTTTTGGTGGACACTCTATATATTTTTTAAATTGTCTTCATCCATTTTTCTGGCTGAGAAGTCTGCTGTTTGACACACTGCTGCCAGCTTGGACCTCCAGTGGTACATGTATGACTGTCCACTGGTACCAGTGTTGGTACAGATGGATCTAAACACCTTCACTGATCTTTTCATACTAATAGGATTAATTTTAAAAGCTGCCCCTGGAACAGTCATGCACAAACCTCTAGGCAGCAAAACAACATATTACAGCCATTCAGGACCCCTCCTGGAAATCTAGGAGGTATCCGCCTCCTCTTCCTCATTTCCAATAAAACCTGGTACAGGCTAGGCAAGCACTATCAACCAACGTTTCAGCAATGTCCTAAGCCCCTTGTAGTTGGCTTTTGTTTTTCTTTCTGTGGCAATGGATATTGAACCCAGGGGCACTCTACAGCCTGAACTACATAGAACTACAAAGCACCCCCCCCATTGTCCTCGGAGTTACAGTCCATGCCTCTTTTTAGTTCATATATTTTGTTTTGGGGGAATACTAGAGATCAAACCCAGGGACTTACACACACCATTTAGAAAACTCAAACCTCCCTCCTTTAACCATGATCTACACCAGCCATCACTGCACATGACGACCTTCCTCTTACATCAAGCTTGAGCTTCGTGGGAGATTTGCACTTGAATTTGTTGCTTAAATTTGCTTTTCAGTAATTTCTGGTAGGGTGAGGGATACTATTTATGCCATCACTTTAAAATTGGAAGTGATGCTAAAATATCAACCTCATACTCTTGGGCTGAGTGCTTCCTAGGATGTTTAGCTGGAGTCTTCAGTTCCTTACGTTTTATTGAAGAATTTCACAGTTACATTAATAATCAAAGTGCTCTAAGAGTTCTTGGCAAATTGACCTGCCTTCAGGGTTCTGAAAAAAGTTGTATGTTGGGCCGGGGATTTAGCTCAGCAGTTTGGTGGCCTGCCTTGTAAGCACAAGGACCCAAGTTCAATCCCCAGTACCAAAAAAAAAAAAAAAGTTGTATCTTAGGGGCCAGGGATTTAGCTCAGTGGTTGCGCCATCTGCCTCACAAGCACAAGGACCTGAGTTCAAACCCCGGTACCGCACCCCCCCCCAAAAAAGTTGTATCTTCCATGTCTATTTAAATAATCTCTGCAAAGGTCTGAATATGTAGGGTGGGGATTATCTGTTTTTGAAGGTTTTGTAAAAACCTCACCCAATGAGGCTGTTCCTTCTGCCAAGGACCCCAGCACTGATGCTGCCACTGACCAGGCTGGCTTCACTCACTCACATACTGACCCCAAAGCTGGGGACAACTAAGCAAGGTTCCTCTTCTGAGATTTTGTTTTTCGCGCTTCCCCCCCTCCCCTGCCATCCATACTGGGGACTGAACTTAGGACCTTATGCTTGCCGGGCAGGCACAGCACCACTGAGCTACATCCCTGGCCCTGTCTTGGTTTTTGAGACAGGGTCTCACTATATAGTTCAGGCTGGCCTCGAACTCGTGGCGATCCTCCTGCCTCACCCTCAGTACTGGGATTACAGGGATGTACCACTAAGCCCAGCTCTGACATGATTTTTAACTTATGCTCAATTCTGATAAAATACTTACTGATCACATTCTCTATTTCAAGTACATGGTAACAACTTGGTTTTCTGGAAATTCCATTTAGGTTCTTTTCTAATTTATTGTCACAGAATGTCCTTAGGAACTAGGGAATAGAGTTCACTTTCTCTGTATTTCCATTTTTTTCAGTGAGAATGGATTAACGTACAGTGAGGAGCAGCTGCCATCACCAAATGACTGATATGACCTTGCTCCTACTGTATATCCCAGCAGCCCTATACTCAGCTCAGTTTTACTTTTTTCCCCTTTCTCCCTCAGTCTTAGGAAAGGTCCTCAGTGCTGTGGGCAGTGCCCAGCTACTGATGTCCCAGAAATTCCAGCAGTTCCGAGGACTCTGTGAGCAGAACTTGGTGAGTGCGGCACTCCTAGCACACAGGCTTCCAGCCTTGGGCTGCCTGCCAGACCCCCTGGGAAGACGCTGTGTACCAGTCAGGCCTTCAACCTCTCTGATCTCCTTGGTAGTGTGGGGACAGTACTGCTTCCTGGTGGCACTGGAAAGGCCCAGGTACAGCCTCCTGAACCAGGCTGCAGGAATGTGAGGCTTAAAAGTCAGCACAGCTTATGTATATACAGTTTATCATGCGTCCAAGATGACCCTCCTGGTAGAGGACCTGCTGCGGCTCATCAAAGCCCTGGGGAGCATTTCCTGTGGGAGTCTCTCAAGTGAGCCAGGAGTATTTACCCCTAGAGGCAGTGGAAAGCATTTGCCTCCAGGACCTATAGGCATTTGGGGCTTGTGTTGTCACAGAATGGGGAGGGAAGCAATGTATATTCTGGGAATGAGTCTAGCTTCTCCCTGCCTTACTGGAAAACCCCAGCCAAGAGTTTCTTCCCTACAAACAGAACCACTGTGGTCCTGCCCACCTGAGGGCATAAGTGCCTTCCTCACCATTAGGGATCTATGGCAGTGGTGATGGCCGTAGTCCACTTATGTGCAGGGCCTGTTCTCATGGTGAGACTCCATTCTTTTTTTTTTTTTTTTTTTTTTTTTTTTTTTTTTTTTT